TGCAAGGAAAAAAATCATGCTATATGCATAATATGCAAATACTCCCTTGTTCAAAATATTCCCATATTTTTCAATTTGAGCAAATAAAGACAATTTTTTAATTTGAAGACAGAAATACCTAAAATGCCTTTAAGACAAAATAAAAATTAAAAACACTTTTTTCAAAATTTTGGGGGTTTTATAAAAAAAAAATTGGTGGTTTGGAATATCTTGGGATTTTTTTAACTATAATATATATGTGGATTTTATAAATAAAAAAAAAATGGAGTTTTGGGGTATTTTTGGGTTTTATAAAAAAAAAATTTGCATTTTGGGTGGTTTTATAAAAGAAAAATAATCAAAATTGATGATTAGGGGCAATTTGCTATAAATTTTAAATTATAAAAATTAAAATGCACATACTAAATAACAAAGATGTTTTTTGCTCATTTTTTATATAGCAGAGATTTGATATGTTATTTGAATTGCTTGAAAAGAAGTGGAGTGACTGACACTTTTTTGGGGGAATTTTTTTTTTTTTTTTTTTTTTAATCTCACACAAATGTAGTTATCTTTTAATAAATAAATATGATTCTATTTATAAAATGGAAAACATTTAAACTCAAGAAAATGATTGAACAAAAAAAAAAATTAATCTCACACAAATGTAGTTATCTTTTAATAAATAAATAAATAAGATTCGATTTATAAAATGGAAAACATTTAAACTCTAGAAAATGATTGAACAAATTTACACTTTGGACTGTCCAGAATTATAAATGTTAGGCTGAAGGGCTTAATATGTGATACGATATTTCGTGTTTTGGGCCTACGCCTGCAAAATTTTGTCCTTTTGTTTTGTTTGAATATGTTTGGTACCATATAACTCGCCTGTGCAAACCTGTAACTCGTCTGGTATAAAAGCTTGCTTAATATCTCACACCCGCCCATTAAAATTGCCATAATTACCCCCTAAGGGGCATAACATCCACGTTTCTACGTGGTAGAGTAGGCTTGTTACATGTGACAACAGGACAAATTTGGAGTGGGGGTGTCATTTCCGGTCCTTTCTAAAACCATTTAGCAAACAACTTTCGCACCCATTTAAGACCACCTCAATTTTTTTTATCCCTAATTTTTCCAATCAAATTTTAAAACTCATATTTCAAAATAAAAAATAAAAAATAATAAAAAAAAAACACATTCTTTCAAACTTTACACAATTTAACCAAATAAATAGCAACATTCCTCCAACGATAAAGGCAATTTTGTATATAACTTAAAATATTTTGGTAAAATAGTATTTTTTGCATTCTAAAATCCTCCTCACCCAAACCCATTAAATCGGCCTTCAAAACCATTTTATACGAGAAGGACCATTTTGTCATCCCTACTAATAAGTCACCGTAAATGTCTACAGTTAATGATCTCATTTGTTTTTATTTTTATACTGAAAGATAATTAAATTTTGTTCAGATCTCAAATTATAAAAAATTTATTATTATGTTGCTAAAAGTCAATTTTCTGTACCTCATAGTAAAGCTAATGAGAGTACAAACTTCTATGGTTTACTTTCTAGCTTTTTTTCATATATATATATATATATATAATACACTTATTTCACAGCAACAAGACATGCAAGTACCATACTCCAGCTATTGTAGGCTGGCCTTAAAATACATATGTAGCTAATGCTAATATCAAACTGTTTCAAATGAAGCATAAACTGAGTTTCAGAGGAATGAACACTTTTGCGCAACCATTTCTTGATATAGTCTTTGAAACAAAGTGTTGTCTACCAAAAAAACTTCTACTTCCATGATGTTTGAAGCTTTGATTGCAACAAAAGTTGATGATCATATTTTCCATCTTTGGTCTCAACTGAATCGATGGTAGAGTCTTCACACCCTTTTGATTTTGGTATTCCAATGGATTGTAAATTGCATTCGTTATGTCTTGAAGCAGATCTGTTTTGGAGTCAAATCAATTGTTGGAGTTGAAAAACATCTGAAATACTTTCAGACATGATAAATGGAGATGCTTGCATGGTTTGGGCAAATCATTAAAGCCATCCATCAAAACATGTTCAAGTAACTCTTTCTTCTTTTCTTCCAATATCTCCCTTACATTAATGATTGAGCTTTCAATGTCTGCCCGTGGGTTTTCTTTCAAATCAAGCAAAACAAGGTTCATTTTCCCATCCTCTTGTTCCTTCTGCAGAATATATGAATATATATGAAATATTTTAGAATGTTTACGTGTTAATAGTGGGCATTAATCCAAATGTTATGATCTCTCATCCAAAAAGAGGAAGATGAGTGTTCGAGCCATGACAGAGCAACATTGTAGGGGTGTATGCGTGTGCTTGAACTTTCCAAAAGAGAAAATGTTTACCTGTTCATGAAAAGGTACGTTAGTTAATTAACTAACCTGGTAGCTTTGAATGTCATTCAACAAACGAGCAGTGACCATGAGCAATTTCGTGACAGTTTCGTACTGCGCGGGCTTAAGTAGTCTGTGAGGCAAGCTCGGACCCATAAAACACAAAACCAAAAGAACTATAGTGTTCATAACAATCGATATCATGCCTGTTTCAAGGTATTTATCGATGGATGGTACATATCCACTCTTGCTCCATGTAGTTTCGGTTAGCCATGAAACAAATATCCACTCTTGCGCCAATTTCACACAAGATTTTCTATATTATTTCAAGCTTTAGTTGATAAATAGCTCAAGCATTTGTGAAGTAACTAGTTGAACTACACATGTAAAAAAGCTTACTATATTTTGTAGATCATTTGTTATGTCACTCCCTTGTCGATGGAGTTATTTCGCTGCAATGTCCCTCACAAAATTGTCAAGGGCATGAAAGATAATCTTACCATGGCCACTTAAACCTTTACTATCCCTTCTGTTATAAAATAAAAAATAAAAATATATATATATATATAACGTGAGACAAGGAGAGCTAGAAAAACAAAGTACTATGCAAGGTGTTCTTAAGTAATTCTAGACTGAAAATAAAAGCATACATACATACATACATACATATATATATATATATATATATATACCTTGGAACCGCATTGGTTAATCGCTGTAAGTCATTCAGAGAGCCTTCCATATCATAAAAATCATCGGCAACTGTAATAAGTATTGCACTCTTGGCAACTACCATTTAAATAGGGGAATTGTGAGGAAGAGAGAACTACTCACTGCAACGGCAAAGTAACAGTATGTAGTTTTCTCCCTCCCAAATCCCATTTAATTAACTCCTTGAACCACCTATAAGAAATGATGAAATAGACAAGCCATTTTGATTAATTGCATATTACTATATATGCATAAATATAACTATCATGTTTTTTGTGTGTGTGTGTGTGTGTGTGTGTATATGCATGTACCTTTTAAGTTCCTCTAATTCGTTCCTGTAGATTGATTGCCGAAACTCATAGTTCTCCACAGCAAGTTGCATTAGCTTGTCATTTTGAAGACATGATTACTCAACATTTTATTGTTTTTTTTCATTAAAAATATCAATCATATTAGTATGAAATTTAAAAATCTAAAGACTGACTTGTACCTATAGGAGACCTTTCCAATGCACAGAGAGCGGACGTTATTAAATTCAATCCAGTTTATGTGATCCAGATGATTTAGACAAACAGTTCATGGAACTGTCAACTCATGCTCGATCTGTGCAAAATTATGGAGTCATATGATTAATGTGATTAATATACACCACCGGCCGGTGGTCTAGCGATATAAGCCCCTTACTTCCCAAAAGGACATCAAGGGTTCAAACCTCTATAGAGGCATATGTGTGTGAGTATCAACTAAAAAAATTTTAATTTCAAAAATACATATCTTCAATACATAAGAATTTCTACTCAAACCTATTTGAAAAAACTGGACCAAATAACCAAGGAATAAAAACAAGTGAAATGCATACTACATAGTGGGACGCAAATATAATTTTTCCATAAATAATATTATATATATAATTAATTTATGGTAAAGAGAAATAATCTATATATACTTTTTAAAATTTAATTTTCTATATAAAGTACGACATGCTAAGAAATTTATTGTAAAGGAAAAAAAAATCCTATAGTGCTTCAGTTGTTGATTTATTAGTTTGCAAAGAATGAAGAATATGTTTAGTTCACACTCCTGTGAATAAAGTCTCACTTTGGAGAAGCATCAATCGGCACAATGATCTAGGGGTTCCATGGATTTTATTGGGGGATTTTAATGTCCTTTTGCATGTTAATGAATCCTTTGGAGGGGCAAATAGATGGACCCAAGGCATGTTTGATTTCAATGATTGTTTTCACAAAAATGAATAGGAGGATTTAAGGTTCTTAGGCATATAATACACTTGGACCAACAACAGTTTTGGATGTGCCAACATATCTAGAAAACTTAATAGAGTGTTAGTCAATCAAGCTTGGATGCTCAGAACTCCACAAGCTGCTTGTGAATTCCTTGGGCATGGAATCTCAGACCACTCCCCTATGGTGGTCAACCTTAGTAATATCTCACCCAAAAGAAATCTTCCCTTCAAAATTTTCAATTTTTGGGCACTCAATGAAAAGTTTTTGGACATTGTTTTCCATGGTTGGCAAAAGGAAGTGCATGGTATAAAAATGTTTTGTGTGGTGTAGAAGCTGAGAGCACTGAAGTACCCCTTGAAACTTCTTAACAAAAGGGTTTTTGGATCTCTTCACAAAAGGTTACTAACTGTAAAGAGGAGCTTCTACAATACCAAATCTACCTTGATTCTAACCCTGCTGATGACCAGTTGAAACTCATGGAAAGAAACCTTCCAGCTAAGTTCAGTGAGCCATGCTTGGCTGAGGAGATCTTTTTCAAGCAAAAAGCACAAATCCATTGGCTAAAGGTTGGGGACCAGAATACATCCTTCTTCATGAAATCCTTTTCATCCAAAGCAAATCGAAGGAAAGTTGTTTTAATTGAAGACTCTTTGGGTAACACTGTTCAAGGAAATGACCTCAGAAATGAATTCTAAGCCATTTATAGAACGTTCTAGGCTAGAGCTACACAAACTACTCAGGTATGGCTTATTTCTCAAACTTAATTTCTAAGTCAGTCCCACCACACCTCCTCCCTTTACTCACAGTCGTACCTACTGATTTAGAAATTAGGGATTGCATTCTCTTTTAACCCTTATAAAAGCCCTGGACCTGATGACTTTAACTCTTGTTTCTTCATCCGTGCTTGGCCAATTATTGGTTAAGACATCATTGATGCAATTAAGGATTTTTTCATCTCTAGGAGAATGCTGTCTGAAATCAACTATTCTTATATTGCCCTTGTGCCAAAAGTTCCAAACCCTTCCACAGTGAGTGACTTTAGGCCTATCTCTTGCTGCAATCTCATCTACAAATGCATTCATAAGCTAATTGCAAATAAGCTTAGCTTGGCCCTACCTTCTATCATCAATCCTGCACAAACTGCATTCATAAAAGGTAGGCAGATTACAGACAATATCATTCTTGCTTATGAACTTCTCAATGGGTACCATAGATCCAACCACCCACCTTGTTGTACATTGAAAATTAACCTTAAGAAGGCCTTTGATTCACTACATTGGCAATTCATCCTCAACACTCTCCACCTTTTTGATTTTCTATTACAATTCATTAATTGGATTGCTCAATGTATCTCTACACCTTCTTATTCTATCTCACTCAATGGGGAGCTCTTTGGTTTTTTCAAGGGAAAGAGATGGGTTAGGTAAGGTGACCCCATCTCTCCCTTGCCGTTTATTCTTGCTATAAAAGTCTTATCCTTATCTCATGAAAATGCAACTTCATCAAGCCCTTGTTCTAAGTTCCATTGGAGGTGCAATAAGTTAAACATTAGCCACCTTGCTTTTGCTGATGATTTGCTTCTCTTCTCCTTTGGAAATCTTGCCTCTTTCAATATGCTACATTCTGCCCTAACTAAATTCCTTTAATTCTCTGGTTTCTCTATTAATTGTGCAAAGAGCTAAGTTTTCTTCTCTGGAGTTGATAGCCATACTAGAGCAGCCATTCTCACACTGCTTCAATTTGGTGCTGGAGTTCTACCAATCATATACCTAGGATTACCTTTGACCTCTTCTGCAATCAATGCCACAGACTGTCAATCTTTAGTTCATAAAATCACAGCTAGAATCTCAACTTGGACCTCAAGGTTCCTCTCCTATGCAGGAAGGGCTGTCTTGATTAAATCCATTCTTCACTCCATCTAAACTTATTGGTCTCAAGCTTTCATTCTTCCTATAAGAGTCATTGAACATGTTAATCAGATTTTAAGATGCTTCTATTGGTCTAGAGTTGGTTTAAAGAATAGTGGTGCTAAGGTGGCTTGGGCTGCCATTTGTAGACCTAAATTAAATGGTGGTCTTGGTTTCAGTTGTATTGACCTTACTAATAGAGTTTCTAGTCTCAACCACATTTGGAAGTTATGCTCTAAGAAGAGCAGCCTTTGGGTTGATTGGACCTATAAATACCTCATCAAAAATAAAAGTTTTTGGACTCTTAAACCATCTTTCTCTCAGTTAAAGGTTCTGGAGAAAGTTACTGAAGCAAAAGGATATGGCTAGGGGGGTTATCAGACACAGAATTGGAGCTGGCACTGACACTATGATGTGGATTGAATTTTGGCTGCCAAATGGTCCAATTTGTGATCAGTTGGGCCTATCAGAGATGGATATTCTTCAACTTGACACAAGTGTCAAAGTTGATAGTCTAATATCCAACTCACAATGGACAATTCCAGCCGCCCTACAGTTTTTTCCTTTTCTCCTCTCTGAATCTTTCACTACACAGCTCCAAAGCCTCCCCCTACCATCACTGGTACCTGATTCAACTGAATGGCTTCCAAGTTTACCTTTGGGATTTTCTCATAAACTCACTTTGGAATACTTTTGTCCACCCTCATTGTCTTTTGCATGGCACAAGTTAGTTTGGTTCAAGCATTGCATCCCTAAACACAGTCACATTTTCTGGTTGGCAGTTAGAGAAAAATTTTGCACTCTTGATACAAAGCCAATAATGCTACACAAGCATTACACTAATGTAAGTTATCTTTGTCCTTCTAATTGGGAATCAATTGATCACCTATTCTTCAAGTGCAAGTTCAGTCGAGCAATATGGGATTTCATTCAAAATGTTGCTAGATTCTACATTAGGCCTGATTATTGGAAAGAACTTATTCCTTGGTGTTCATCTCATTGGAGCAACGAAGGTTACACAATTCATAAACTCATGCTCTCTGCTGCTGTTTATTATATTTGGCTTGAAAGGAATGCTAGAGCCTTCAGGAACAAAGCATCTAATGCTCCTCACACCATTAATCTCATCAAGAGCTGCATCAGAGCAAGGATTGTATCACTGGTTCTGAAGAGTGGAGTTGAGTTGAAGCAAAAAGGAACAACGGAGGATCTACAGAAGATGTTCTTGGATGGCTGCACTTTTACTGGGTGTCACACTTGGATCCTCCCAGATTAATGTGATGCATTTGATGCTGTTCGAGGTATCTCCAAGGGTGGGATTATGTCACAATTATTTTTCTTCACTTTGTATTTATGAGCATTGTCATTGGTGTCTTTTGGTGGATAGGCCTCTGGTTTAGAGCTTCTTGGGTTACTCATTGTGTTGTTGATGTATTGTTTTGGTTCAATTTGCTCCCCCATACTTGGGGGCTATCTGTACATTCTTCCTTCATCTAACATAGCTTTCCATTTATCTAAAAAAAAATAATAATAAAAAAATAAAAAAAAATTATATATATATAATTTTATTAGCAAGCAAAATAGTGCATCAATTTTTAATTTATTGCCGGCAGAATTTCTTAGGAGATAATGGTTGAAGACGTCTAGATAGAATAAAAAATAATAATAATAATAATAGTAAAAGAAGCAACCGGGTAGAATCGGTCACAAGGTAACTCAAAAGACTCTTTTCAAAGTGTATTCCATTAAGTAATATAATTAGAATATAAATAAACCACTTTTTAGATTTCTAAAATCAAAAAAGTCAACGAATAAAATAATTGACGTGTAATAATGAATTCAAAATTGACCAATAAAATTATGCGACTGAAAAAAAACAATTGCCTAAACGACTGTTGCTAAACAATATTATTTTTTCATTAGTAAAAGGTTCTGAGCATACATTAGTTACTCGATCAATTACCTAATACCCAAATAATATATCCAATTAGTTGACTTGTATCAAATAAGATTTATTTTTTTGTGTTTTCATAATACACCATCCAATTGAGATCAGATTTGAGATTTTTGTTTTTAGTTGTCAAGAAACGTACTTGCACTTATTTTTTTCAATTAGCACGGGAAATCCCACCTCTTACTCTCCAACCAATCAAACGGCCTTGTGTTATCACCTCCCATCCCTCAATTATTTTTCAGGATTTAAATAGTGGACTTCATTCTAAAACTTTCATTTCACTATTTTTTTTTTTTTTTTTTTTTTTTTTTTTTTTTTTTTTTTATCATTACACAAACTGAATTAATTATTGAATATATATCTACAATAATTGTGAAAATTGGTAAAAATTTTCATCTTCTCTTATTAACTTTTATGATTTTTTTTTTTTTTTATTCCTCCCACGTTACAATTTTTTTTCCCTGGCTCAGAGACATCTCGCACTTTTCTCATTAAAACCTTTTTTTTTGTTTTTTTCTTTTTTTCATAAATCTCATTACAACGTTTTTGTTTTTTTATTTTTATTTTTTTTTTTTATTCTCATATAATTCAGTATTTTGGAATTTCTCAAGTATTTGAAGGTAGATATTATTTACAAAATAGGAATAAAAAGACTGAAATTTTTGTTGGAGCAGTGGACAAGATTTTTTTAACATCATGTTCTATTGTTCTTTATCTTAAATCATTTTTGTAGTCTTATTATTTTTTGCAATAAAATGTTATAATTTGTGGGATATTGTGCATAAAATATACTTCAAAGATTTATTTGTAAATTTAGACATATATCGTGTTTTGCAACTTCACTCTATAAGATACTAGTATTAAAAGTCCTTTTTTTATATAAACTTTTACACATAAGTGGCGTTATTTTCTGCCTTCACTACTAAGCAAGGTTTTTAAAATGAAGTCCGGCTTTTATTACTTTACCGAGTGACACGAACGGTCCATAGCAGTACAACTAGCATTCTTCAAAATGTCCCATGTGAACGATTGCACGAGGGAAAACCTGCATGCTAATTTGTCAAACAAAAATTGTTTTGCAGTAGTGTAATATACATAAATGGGCTTTTTGATTTGTGTTTTCCTGCAAAAAAATTAAAAATATATATATATAAAAATAAGATTGTGTTTTCACCATTAATATATAAGTAGTGCAATAAAATGAGATTACTGTCAACGTACTTGTACTTGTACCTGTCCTTGTTATTAATATATTTAGAATGTGTTAAATTATATTTGATTATTCTTCCTAGCTAACTACATTTATGAACCTGTACTATAAGCAATTTGAAGAATGTATGAAACTTTTTTTTTTTTTTTTAGTCCAACAAACAAAAATACAAAAAAACAAAAACAAAACCAAACCACTAAGCACCATGATCCAGAGTATCCAGTTCAATAGACTTGAGCACCTGGGATGGCCAAACATCACAACTTACATCGCTAGATTGAGAGACATTGTTAATTGACTGATAATGTGAGCAACCGAATTATTTTTCCTCAATGTCCGACCAAGTCATAATGGGTACATAGTTTTTTATTTTTTCAGTTAAAAGATAAGCTTGTATATAAGGATGAAGAATGTGCATTGCGTCCCCAAAGGGGAAATAAAAAAGAAACAACAAACAGCAGGCATCTAAACGAAAAACATACTACTTCTACACAACAGTTCAATAATAGACTCAACCACATATTTTAACCTTCCTCCATAGAAGTAGGTATGGTCACTCAAGAGATGTATCCATTAGCAACCCTCACAATTGTTTATGATAAAAGCCAGGAGTGTCCATAAGCTGTGGAACAGCAGTGTTGGAAGAGGATTTGCAGCTGCGAGAGAGAGGTGATCTGATTCAAGTCGGAACTATTTCTAAGCTTGCTTATTGCAAGTTTGGCCCTAACACAGATTTTGACCTGAGCTATAATGTTGTGTCCAGTGGTTGTTTGGTTTCTGAAAGCTTTTGCATTTCTTTCCATCCAAATGAAGTACACTATTGCAGCCCATAACAACTTGTGGACTAAAAATTCAGATGAACTCCAATGTAAGGAGCACCATTGAAGTAAATCAGACCAGCAGCTTCGCATAATGTAAAATCCAACCACATCTTGAATAAACCTTCAAATGTGTGAAGTGTACGTAGTTGCACAAGTGACAACATGGCACATTTTTCACCGTTGGATGTAGGCTTGGTCTGGTTAAATGGAGATCAGAAAAACTGTTGGAGAGGATCCATATCCCTAAACAAGTGAGAAACATGGCACGTTTTTCACCGTTGGATGTAGGCTTGGTCTAGTTAATTGGACATCATAAAAACTATTGGAGAGAATCCATATCCCTTCTTGGACTAAATATCCATTCTAGGTTTTCAACCCTTTAAGTATACATGAATTTAATAGTTTTTCGTTTTTAATATTCCAAAAATAGTCCTCTAAAATTTTAATATTTAAAATTTTAATTTGAAAAAAATTGTAATATACTCACCAAAAAGTTAAACCATAATGCATAACATCCGTTGAAATTTTCGATCACAAAATCATTACGAGCTATGCTAAGCACAATTTTGATTGACATGACGGTACGAACACATTTGTTGGGTCATTATGAGTTGTGCATTTTAAAATTTTTGGACCTATGGAGCATAATGGTGATTTTTGTTTATGAGTTTGACCGTTGGTTTGAAAAGTCAAACTTTAGAGTTGACCATTTCGCCTTTATTTTAGAATTTTGGTCAATTAAGGTGTTGAAGAAATGTGGTGAAATCTTGATTTTGTCCTTTTCGGGGGATTGGTGATCAACTAATCGGGCTCTAGGAAGTGTGTGGTGTGCTTGTTTCTAAGATTTTGGGATGTTCTGAGTGCAATGGTGAAGCCTAACTTCCAATAAGATAATCAGATTCTCAGTTTTTAGTTTTAACCATACGTGGGCCTTGGGAAATGTAACTTGTTTCTAAGATTTTGGGATGTTCTGAGTGCAATGGTAATGCCTAACTTCCAATCAGATAATCAGATTCTCAGTTTTTAGTTTTAACCATACGTGGGCCTTGGGAAATGGAAATTCTATCCCTTTCCTGTGGTTAGGTTGACTTGGAGTGAAATGGGGAGGCAAAAATGGGATGTCTACACTATTAAAATAATTTGTAAGAAAGTAATAAAAATTGGGTGTCTACATACTCACACAAACTTTCGTCCACTTCTAGACTCAAACTCCTCCCTTTCTCTTTGAGGATGAAGAGGTTATATCATTGGACGAGGGACTTCAATTCGCTTAAGTCACTAATGGGCTTCACAATCAAATTCAAGTAATCATTGCTCGTAGTAATATTAACTTTTGTACCTAGCACACATAGGTGGTGCTAAATATGTTATATTTAGAAAATGGATGCTCATTATGGAAAAAAATATTGAATACTTGGAAGATACCTACTATGTAATACTCTTATTTAATATTTATTCATTATTTCTCGAACCAATGCATTAAGCATAAACCTTCATATTGTAAGATTATTTATTAATTATGTGATCCACATGATTTGGACATGTGATATATTTCATTAATTAGTGGTTAAGTAAATAGATATCGGATTAATATTATATTATTTGGTCAACTTATAAATTACCTTTATGGTAATTAATTACTAGGGAAGTGTTTTCCTATTTGTTCCTTACTTTGATGGAAAGTAGAATTAAGGTTACTAAAAGGAAAACTGGTCATCTCTCTGCCTTTATAAAAATGCATATATCACATTAATTATGTATGCTAATAAAACAACACGTATAAAATTTTATATATGCAAAAGGCCAAGAGAGAGAAATCAGTTTCCATACTTTGCCTATTGTTTGAAGTTGGGATCTCGACGTTGGACTTGATCTCTTCGATATTTGCAATCACAGATCAAGGTATTTATATTTAACTACTTTATTTATGGATTATAGATATGTGAAAATTAAGGAAGTTGTAAGATCTTGAGATTCATGTATATTTGTGATTAATGTTTGACATGAATTATTAAAGCTAACATGTGCTATCAGAGCTTACGATTTAGGAACTCATTATTTTCGTCTATATAAATAATGTGTAAATATAAAGTAAGATTAAATAATTGTATAATTTAATTTTCTTTTAGAATCAATATTATTTATTTTGATTGGTCTCATTGACTATTCATGAATTATTGTACATATGCAAATAAATCAGGATCAAGAAATTAAATATATATTTTTTGAACTTACGTTTTTTGAAGAGGAGTTAATCGTGTTCTAATGTATACGGGCAATTGCACTGTTCA